CCGGGTTTAGGGACCCGAGTCCGCAGAGAAGCAGTTGGTCCGGTGCCCCCGCCTGAAGGTCACCCCCCACGGGCTTGTTCACACTGGCTCCCCTCACGCCACTTCCCCCAAACGGCGGGGGCAGCGAGGCACACGCAGGGCTGTGGGCTGGCCTCGCAGTGACCTGTCCGCCCACCGGCAGCGGCACCTCGTTTAACCGGGTCTCAGGCGCACGGCACCACCAGCACCCGCCCCGCAGCCTGCATCGGTGCAGCGCAGCACAGCGTGTTCTCTGGTTCTCAATAAAACGTCTGATAAACGACTGCCCTGCACTGTGGGGCGCTCACATAACAGGCTTCACACCTGGGTCCAAACAGCCTACAAGGCAGATGAGCCTTAGGGAGCCAGCCCACGTGCGGGCGCACGTACAGCGCAATTGAAACTTCGTGGCCACGCGCAGAAGTCGGTATTTGTGGAGGAGCCGGTATTTTGTGGAAGAGCCACACTCAAGGGGCCAAAGAGCCGCATGTGGCTCGCGAGCCACGGTTTGCCGACCACGGGCCTAGGACATCACAGACTTGAGGGCCGCGGCTTAGCTTAAACTTTCCATCTCTCTTTAAAATATGTAAATTTTAAATGACCCGGAAAGGAATACACCGGCTGGCAGTGGCCACCCCTTATAGGAGCTCATACCGTTTATGACTGAACAGACATAAAACCTCCTGCATCACGGGAAGTGTTCTGCATGACTCGGGAGAACAAACACCCGATGCCCAATAAATGCCGCCCACCCCGCCGGTGCCGACAGCGCCCCCTGGTGGCTTCCTGCTGGGCAGGGCTGTCACCTCCACAACAGCCCCAGCTCTGCCTCTCTCCCGCCTGCGGTCCCTTCAGCCTCACTGGCCGCCCGTCTTCCTCCCGTCTGCTCAGCCACAGCTTTCTCTCGCCTGTCCCCTAACGCCTGTCCCCTAACGCCTGTCCCCTAACGACAAACAAGGCTGGTCTGTCACCGAGAGCCGCCGGCCACCTTCAGCCCGTGCCTGTGTCTGTGCAGCCACCGGGCTAGTGGGCTTTACATCTGTAAACGGGCGTGGAAACAGGGACAACAGAGATGCCATCTCACAGACGCGCTGCCGAGAGGGTGTGGGGCTGGAGGGCTCGGCGTTGCAGACGCCCAGCAGGCCGCTCGGGGCTCTCACCATCACACGTACCACTTTGTTCTTGGCTCTTTCCTTGTCCAGTTTCAGGAATTCACCGAGGGTCAGCTCCTCGAACTGCTTCCTGACGGAAAGGAAGGCGCAGCCCGACGAATGCTTCTTGTGCTCCTCCCTGGGGAGTGACACAGGAGCGGGTCACCGAGGCGGCAGCTCGTCGCCACCGCCTCCCACCCCTCCGTCTGCAGACGCCCCGCTCGCTGGAGAGCAGTGACGTCCCAAGTAGACGGAACCAGGACTAGGTCCCCGGCCACCTCCCCACGCGGCTCAGCGCAGCGCCTTCCCTCTGTGGACGCCCCCTCCCCGCCTCCCCCTTCCCTGATGGAGTCACCCGGAGCCCGGAGCGGTGAGTAGGAAGTGCTACGTGAGTCCAGAGCTGTTACACGTCAGATCCCCGAAAACCCTCAAGGTGTTTTTTGTTTTGTTAATCCTCCCCCGAGACTGCAACGGAGGGATGTGCCTCTGACCGGAATGGAGCCTGTGGCCCTGCAGTCTGGGCTGGTGCCTGCTACCCACTGAGCCAAACGGGCCCAGGGCCTCTAGGGATGCTGTGAAGCAGCCTCATACCCCGGGAACTGTCACATAATCTACAGGTTTGGAATAAGGCCCGCGGGCCAGGCTTCTCCAGGGAAGCAGGCGGGCAGAGCGCCCAGCCCCGAGCCAGGGCCCTGCGGACGAACACACGGCCACAGGAAGTCCAGAGGGTCAGCCCACACTGACAAGGGCATGAAACATCGCCGCGCGTAGGAGACCCACTCCCAGAGCACGCTGGCATTTCCCAGGGCTCCCGGTGTGCCCGCCACGCCACCCCGTCAACACTGGGCCGCGGCCGCAAACACAGTCCCCGGCTCGTCTCCACGGGAAAGGAAAGTGGCGGAAACAGGCGACTCTGCGGGGGAGGTGAGCGCGTGCACTGGCCGGCAGGAGACACTGGGGGCCCCTGAATGCAGACACGGGGTCCCGTCCCCTGCAGAGCGAGCCCCAGCGGGCACGGAGCCCCTCGGAAAGGCTGGTTGGTGGTGTGGGGACCGTAGCACAGTAAGGCTTGAGGTTTAAAACTGAAACAGGCCCTAGCTGGTTTGGCTCAGCGGACAGAGCGTGGGCCTGTGGATTGAAGGGCTCTGGGCTCGATTCCAGTCAAGGGCACATGCCTGGGTTGCAGGCTTGATTCTCTCTCATCATTGATGCTTCTCTCTCTCTCTTTCCCTCTCCCTTCCTCTCTAAAATCAATAAAAACATATTTAAAAAAAGCTCTTGCCCTGACCAGTTTGGCTCAGTGGCTAGAGCCTGTGGACTGAAGAGTCCCAGGTTCCATTCCGGTCAAGGGCACATCGCCAGCAGGGGGCGTGCAGGAGGCAGCTGATCCATGTTTCTCTCACGGATGTTTCTAACTCTCTATCCCTCTCCCTTCCTCTCCGTAAAAAAAATCAATAAAATATATATTTTTTTAAAAAAACTCTGAAACCAGAAAGGCACCTGGGCACCCTGGTCACAACAGGGGCTGCTCCCGGTTCTGTCCAACCTCCAAGGCCTCGGGACCGACGGGAAAAAGCCTCTTCAACACGCACCGAGGGCACCGGCCCCATCAGGCTGCGAGGCGGAGGCGCACAGAGGTTCGTCCACTTGCAACAGCTGCTTGGGCGCAAAATGAGGCCGGAACCGCTCCCGCCCCAAGCGTCCTTCCTGGAAAGGCGGTTTCCCGGCTCCGCGCAGAGCGCAGGGGCGGGCGGCCGGCACTCACAGCGGGTCGTCGTCCGGCTCCCAGCCTTCCAGCTCCTTGAAGCAGAAGAAGCACTGGGCCAGGTCGGGCTCGTTCTCGGTGGGGCAGTGGATGAAGCCGGCCGCGGCCATCTGCAAGGGAAGGCAGGATCGGACCCGCGGCGCGTGCCCTCCGGGAGCCCAGAGGGGTGCCGAGCCCGCGGGGGGGACACCCCGGGAGCCCAGGGGGGGCCGAACCCGCGGGGGAGACACCCCGGGAGCCCAGAGAGGGGCCGAGCCCGCGGGAGGGACACCCCGGGTCCTGGGAGCCCAGAGGGGGGCCGAGCTCGCGGGAGGGACACCCCGAGCCCGGGAGCCCAGGGGGGGCCGAGCCCGCGGGGGGGGACACCCCGGGAGCCCAGGGGGGGCCGAGCCCGCGGGGAGGACACCCCGGGAGCCCAGAGGGGGGCCGAGCCCGCGAGGGGGACACCCCGGGTCCTGGGAGCCCAGAGGGGGGCCGAGCCCGCGGGAGGGGACGGGCCTGGGCCCCCGGGGCCCCCGTCTCACCCGTTCCGGGGTGCAGGCGCAGCCCTCCAGGAAGGGCCAGTTCCTGAACGTGGAGACGCGGTGGTCCTTGAGGTAGAGCTGCCAGGCCGCGGGCAACGACGGGGCACCCATCCCACCGCCACCCCGAGCGGTGCCGCGATTCAAATCGAGCGGTTGGCGTCCGCCGTGAGGCCTGTCGGGAACGCCCAGCTCGGGAGCGGCCCTCGCGGCCTTCTGGGAGTGCGCGGGGCATGCTGGGAGTTGTAGTCCTCCCTCTGCGTGGATTGGCTTCTGCGCCCCGTGCACCTAGCGACCTCGGTCCCGCGTTTGCCGCTTCCCACGCTTAGCAGACTGGTGCGAGCGGAGCTACGGTGGGCTGCAGTCCTCCTAATGGATTTAAGGAGGCGCCGGTCGAGTACATCTGTATGAAGCCCTTTCAGCCTGCAAACTCTGGTTGTCCTTGTGGGTGCCCCACTCCTGGGGCCCCCTAGTGCCAGCTCCCCCTGCCCCCAAGCCAGCTGAGTTGGAATGTGTGCTGAGACCGAGCATCCTCCAGGGAAAAGATGTCCCAGGTGAAATCCAGGGCTCCGCCTCCGCCCTGGCTCAGGGAGCTATGAACTCGGCTCTTACCACGTCTTTTCACTGCGGCTTCTTGGAAGTCTCGAAATGGACCCTTGGAACTGGGTTCCTGCCTTCCCATCAGAAACCCTCCGGAACCAGACATCCCTCCAGGTCCATAGCGGTCCATGCTGCAGCACAGATACTTATTCAGTCAGGCCCCTATGGACGGGCCCTCAGGTTGCTAATTCTGTACCATTATATATAACTAGAGGCTTGGTGCACAAAATTCGTGCACGGGTAGGGTCCTTAGGTCTGGCTGGTGATCAGGGCTGATTGGGGCCTTCCTTCCCCAGCTGCCGGCTGGGGGTGGGGGCCTTCCTTTGTTCTGTGCCGCCCCCTGGTGGTCAGTGCTCGTCATAGTGAGCAGTTGAACTTCCAAGGGGACAGTTTGCATATTAGCCTTTTATTATATAGGATACTGCAGTAAACACTTTGTATGAATAACCTTGTGTTCTGGTACTTTTGCTTCCAGGGGCTAGATTTCTAAAAGTGGATTTTTAGGTCAAATGTGAATTTAAATTTTTAACAAACTCATTGAGCACCACCGGCCAGAGCTAATCAATCATTCTTGAACTGCGAGCTATTCAGAGTGGGGCAGAGAGGTGGTGGGGTGCAGTGGGGGACAGCTGGTTCCCAGGGGACTGCACACTCTCCTGGGGTGGGAGGGTGGGGAGGCAGCGGAAGCTTGTCGACCTGTGGGTGTCACTGTCCTGTCATGGTCAAGGGGTTATCCCGAGGCTAACATTCCAGGGTTTTCAGGGCAGACCCAAATGTCTGGTGGAGCCCAGGACAGAGTGGACAAAGAGTGAAGCAAAAGGCAGACCTGGTGTGGGAATTGCTTGCAAAAGAGCCAGATGGTAATCAATTTAGCTCTGGGGCCATCCAGTCTCTGACCCCACCCAGCTCTGCCCTTGTAGCTCAGACACCACCACGGACAATTCGTAGATGAATGAAGGTATGAATGTACTTATGGATACGGACATTTGAATTTTATATCACTTTTACATGTGACAAAAGACTATTCTTTTCTGATTTGTTTTGAAAGGTGTGTGTCCGGGCATGCAGGGTCGGAGCTGTCGTTTCTGTCTCCTTTCTCAGCAGGCGGTGGGCTCAGACTTGGCATCACGCAGCGTTGCCCTGGGCTGGCCTGTCCCTGCAGCGGCTTGATTCCGACCAGGGCGCGGCCACGGAGACGGGGATCCTGCTCAGAGCAGGGGGAAGACGGGGCTCTTGCCAGGGCAGGTGGACATATGGAGGCTACAGGGCTCCCGGGAAGCGGAGGCTGGTTGGGGGGAGCGGTCCGGCCCTTTGCAGAAGACTCGCAGGTCGGGTGCACGGCGGCTGGGGCTTGGGGCCCATCAGGACTCTTGGAAGATTGTTTTCAGAATAATCTGCAGCAGGAGGAAAAGACAAAGCCCTCGCACGGGAGAGGCTCGGGAGGACGCGATGAGGGAGAGGGCTGCTCAGTGAGTTCCCCACCTCCCGTCGGAAATGTGCTAATGAGGCTCCCGCCTCAAGCCGACTTACCCCCGGGTGTGACCCAGGGGCCAAGAAAGGCTTTGTTTGTAAACCATTGAAAAGAAATCCATAAACATTATTTCGGGATATGTAAACATTATAAAATTTAACAGGGGGATCACTTTGTAAAGTATATTCTTGTCTAACCACTATGCTGTACACCTGACACTAACATAAAGTAATATTGGATGCAACTCTAACTGGAAAATACAATTAAGCCCCGCTGGTGTGGCTCAGTGGTTGAGCATTGACCTATGAACTAGGAGGTCACGGTTCAATCTGGTCAAGGACACAGGCCTGGGTTGTAGCCTCGATCCCAGTAGGGGGTGTGCAGGAGGCAGCCGATCCATAATTCTCTCTCAATCACTGATGTTTCTCTCTCCCTCTTTCTTCCTCTCAGAAATCAATTAAAAATTAAAAATCGAAAGAAAAGAAAATTAAGTGAAGGAGGCAAGTGTGGCACTTGATTCCTATCGCCAGGTCTCCCAGCCTCCTGGGCGACAACCAGCCAGCAGCTGCTCTGCGCTCCCCGCTGCACTCACGCGTAGGGGCTACGGCAGGGGCAGGGGCCACGCACCCCCCCAGCCCCCCACCCGTGAAGGGACACGCCCCACCTGGGTGAGTGCGTAGTCCTGCTGGGTCAGCTTCCAGACCATCTCAAAGTGATCCACGTCCTGGAGGTCTTCGAAGGAGGCTCGCCACCCCGCTCGGCACAGGGTCTGGTGGGAGGAGGGAGCAGGGGAGCGTGTGGCACGGGAGAGCAGAGGGGGGCTCTCACCCCGTGCCTGGCACAGAGCAGGTGCTCACCACGCATCTGCCGAATCGGCGAATTGGCGATGGATGGTCTGGGGCCATTGGGGTGAAATACAGGGCAGGATAGGAGACCGCATGGCCCCGACCTCCAGCCCACGGCAGGCTGCTGGGGTACCTGGTAAAACTCCCTGGACTGCCTGTGGAACTCAGGGCTGTCATGTTGGCCCACGATCACCAGCATGGGGCAGGCTGGACCCCTGGGCTTCGCGGAGGCCGCCTCCAGGTGCCACTGTGGGCTGTTCCTCAGAGCATCCTCCCTGTGCGGGAGGTGGGGGGGGGGGGGTCAGGAGGAGAGGAACCTCACGCTCACCTCACACCCTCCCTGCCTCACCCTGCACCCCTCCTGGGCTCCAGCCAGCGGGGAGCGGGGACTCACGGGGTCAGGTGCAGAGGGGCGTTCACAGAGGTGTTCACGATGGGCTCCAGGTCGTAGATCCCACTCAGCAGGAAGCAGGCTGGGAGGGAGGAACCGCCAGAGGGCCCGTGGCAGCGGGGCCACCCACCCAGACCAAGTCTTGTGCAGGCGCAGTGTGGGCCAGCCCAGGATGGGGGGGCGGGGGGTGGAGATAGAGGGGGAAGGACCAGAATAGGAAACCAAGAAGCAGCAAGCAGGCCCGCTCACAGACTCAAAGCCCCCGGGTCACAGCCAGTGCAGGCCCCCAGCTCAGGCCCCGTGGGGGAGGGGAGGCCAGGCTGCAGGCCCCACGGAAACCTTTGAGGTTGGGCGTGACTCCCCGCTCGGTCCAGTTCACCAGGAGCATCATGGCGGCCAGGTGGGCCCCGGCCGAGTGTCCGCACAGGTACATCCCCCTGGGAGGGCCAGAGCGGAGGCCGCGTCGCTGCTTGTCCTCCGCTCCACGGGCCAGAGGGCAGCTGGGCTGCACGAAGGGGCTGAATGGCTGGACCCAGTGCCCCCCCAGCCCCTCCAGCCCCCCAGCATCATCAGCCAAAGGACACCTGCGGCGACACCCACTCGTTGCACGGAAACCGCTTCTGCACGAAGGCGAGGCTCCGGGCCACCTGGTCCACCATCTGGTCCAGGGTCCCTGTGGGAGACGCGCAGGGCAGGTGCTGTGAGGGCTCCCTCCCCGCAAAGCCCCCCGGCCCCACCCCTGCAGGGCCACCGCCTTACCTTTGGGGGCCAAGGTGTAACCCACTACCACCACCGCCGCTCCCCGCACGGTCAGGGGGCCCGCCATGTAGGCCGACTCCTCTTTACTGCAGAGAGACCAAGAGTGACCCGGGGAGCTCGGCCACCACTGCCCCTGCCCCTCTGAGCCGTGTGGCAGGAGGAGGCAGGCTCTGGGCCTCGTTCCTACAGCGCGACCTAACGCGATTTTCGCCGTAAGTCAGAACCCACCTATGTAAGCACCTACGTCACTCACGTGGAGCACAGACACAGCAGTAATGAAGTGAAACAGGAAAAAAAATGTCAAAGAATGAGAACAATTCCTGACCTTTACTTGTGGTAAATAAATAATACAAAAACATAAAGCACATATGTGCATGCGTTGAAATGACGGAACTTTTTCTTTTTTATAAATAAACTAGAGGCCCGGTGCATGAAAATTCATGCACTGGAGGGGGGTCCCTCAACCCAGCCTGCCCCCTCTCACAGTCTGGGAGCCCTCAGGGGTGGGAGGCAACCCAGCCATCACGGGAAGGCGACGCCCCATCACACCTCTGCTGCTGCCCCTGCCGGCAGTGCAAGCCTCGGCCAGCCCTGGTTACCTGAGCCTTGGGCAGCCCTGGGCGGCTAGGGGGCTGAGGGGACTGGGCACCACCATCTTTGAGGGTGGGGCAGTCAATTAGCATATTCCCTCCTTATTGGCTGTGGGCACCACCATCTTTGTGACGGCACGAGGGTCAATTAGCATATTCCCTCTTATTAGATAGGATGGGAGATAGTGACGTAGTCCGAAGCGATGTACACTGAGTCCGACGTAACCCGAGGACTGTCTATGTGTATATACTCGAGGCCCGAAGCATGAAACTCGTGCAAGAGCAGGCCCTCCTTCCCCCGGCTGCCCGCACCGGCTTCCCTCTGGCACCTGGGACCCGGGCTTCCCTCGCAGCCCCAGCTCCGTCTATTCTAATTGGCATATTACTCCTTTATTATTGTAGTTTTTTTAAAGGTGCCTCTCCCTTTGCCTCTGCTCCTCCCACTCTGCAGACCCACCTTCCGCTCTGCCAGTATCCGCCATGAAGGAACACGAAGAGCGGCAGGGCTGTAAGACAAAGCACGGCGGCTGAGGCCGGCTCCCACCGGCTCCGCGAGACGCCCGGCCCTGCTCACCTTCGGACGCCCCCGCGGGGAAGTAGACGCCCGGCCCTGCTCACCTTCGGACGCCGCCGCGGGGAAGTAGACGTCCAGCGTCTCCCCTTCGCCGGCTCCGTAGGGGATATCCAGCAGGCTCCTCCGTGTGGCCCGGGCCCTCCTGGTGGCTGTCCCGGGAGACGGACAGGGCTGTCAGCGCAGCTCGGGCAGCAGCCGCTCCTATCTTATTTCAGGTGGAAACCTTTTTGCTAAAAGCCTCTTTGCTGCCTGGCCAGTGTGGCTCAGTGGTTGAGCGTCACCCTATGAACCAGGAGGTCACAGTTCAATTCCCAGTCAGGGCACATGACCGGGTTGCGGGCTGGATCCCCAGTAGGGGGTGTGCAGAAGGCAGCCAATCAATGATTCTCTCATCATTGATATTTCTCTCTTTCTCCCTCTCCTTTCCTCTCTGAAATCAATAAAAATATATTTTAATAAAATAAAGCTTCAAGCAACCATTGCTCAGAGAGCCTGCAGGGATCTAACCACTAGAACCAAACCGGCTCCCGGATGTCCACGCGCAGCAGGACATGCCGAGCAGAACGGATGTATTGGGAATTAAGCGCATTTTTTTTTTTAAATATATTTTATTGATTTTTTACAGAGAGGAAGGGAGAGAGATAGAGAGTTAGAAACATCGATGAGAGAGAAACATCTATCAGCTGCCTCCTGCACATCTCCTACTGGGGATGTGCCCGCAACCCAGGTACATGCCCTTGACCGGAATCGAACCCGGGACCTTTCAGTCCGCAGGCTGACGCGCAGGCTGACGCTCTATCCACTGAGCCAAACCGGTTTCGGCGAATTAAGCGCATGTTAATGGATTAGAACCAGGAGGCTTTGTTGAGTGAAGCAATTAGGCTGCACCGAGGCTGAGCTGACCCTGAGAACGTTAGCGCACTCTGCACACGGTTTACATCTGAGAGGGTTTAATGTGTGACCCTCTGCGCTGACTGGGCGTCCGTTTCCAAGATCAGTGGATGCCGTCATTTTTTCCTATGAAGAAATAACAGCCCTTAACCGGTGTGGCTCAGTGGACAGAGCGTCGGCCTGCGGACTCAAGGGTCCCAGGTTCGATTCCGGTCAAGGGCATGTACCTTGGTTGCGGGCACATCCCCAGTGGGGGGTGTGCAGGAGGCAGCTGGTCGATGTTTCTCTCTCATCGATGTTTCTAACTCTCTATCCCTCTCCCTTCCTCTCTGTAAAAAATTCAATAAAATATATTAAAAAAATAATAATAAATAATAATAAAAATAAAAAACAGAGTTTTTTTAAAAAAAGAAAAGAAATAACAGTGATACCATTAAAAAGCACACAAAGGGCTTGTGAGCGAAATGTCCCCGCCCGCCGCCAGGGTGACCATGGTATGAACACAGATATAGGATCTCACTGCCCTTAATCCAAATGGCAGCGTATTAAGTACGTGCTGCCCTGCCTGTTTCACTTAAGATCCCTTGGAGAGCCTGCCCAGTCAGTACACAGAGAGCTTCCTCATTCTTTTCTTTATAAAAAACACACACACAGTTAGTGTCTCGTCCTATGGCTGCCCATTAATTTACCTACACAAGTCACGCCAGCTGCTGGACAAAACCCACATCCTGGTCCATCCTCCTGGCTCCTCCTCCCCCAGCTCATCCTGAATCCCGAGCCGAGCCTCCTCCCCACCCCACTGAGAGCCGCTGGGTCCCCCAGAGTGTGAATGCCCGAGGGCAGGAACACGGGGGGGGGGGGGGGGGCTTCGAGCAAAGGCTTATGACAAACTTCCTCTTGTGAAAAAGCAAAAGTGGGGCTTCTGTTAGTCACACCCAAAGCTGTCTTACAGACAAGCTCCAGGGCCTGGAATCGGGGTCTGTTTGCTGCTGGTCCATGAGTCGGCTTCAGCGTAAGGCGAGAGCCAGCATTTAGAGTAAATGCGTTTTGCGCGCGCATTGGTGGTTCAGTGGTAGAATTCTCTAGAGTAAATGCGTTTTGCTAGAATGGCTTTATCTAGTGAGAGGAAGTAGGGCTTTCAAGCTAAACCTTGTACAGGAATGTTCATAGCAGCACGATTCACAACAGCCAAACGGCGGAACCAGCCCAAACGTCCATCCGTGGCTAAACACGTGCAAAGGGAATGCTCCAGTATGGGGGGACTCCGAAACACCAGACCCAGAATTCCACCTTGTGACTCGATTTGTAAGAACTGCCCGGAACAGGCAAACCCGTAGGGACAGGAAGCAGTTAGTGGTTGCCAGGGGCGAGAGGGGGGGAGGAGATTGGGGAGTAACTGTTTGACAGGTAGGGTTTTTCTTTCCAGAATAATGAAACTGTTTTGGAACTAGAAGTGACTATACTAAGTCTGCTGAAGTGTTAAAATGGTTAAATAGTAAAAATTCTTTAAAATATATTTTTATTGATTTCAAAGAGGAAAGGAGAGGGAGAGAGAGAAACATCAATGATGAGAGAGAATCGTCGATTGGCTGCTCCTGCACGCCCCTGACTGGGGATGGAGCCCACAAGCCAGGCGTATGCTCTGGCCGGGAATCCAAGCGTGACCTCCTGGTCACAGGTCAACGGCAGCCTGGCTAGAAGAGTCAGTTTTATCTGATACGTATTTTACCACAATAACACGACATTAGGGCTTGTGTTGTGCATTCCTTTGTTTTCTTCCCTTCATTTTTCTGGTGCAGAGTAACAAGCCCAGTCTGTAGCCAGTGAAGGCAGGAGGGCTCTGGGAAAACCGGCCAGTTGCGGAGGCTGTCAATCACAAGGCCCCTCCCACCTCGCTGGCGATTGGTCCTCCTGTGGGGAGGCATGGTCTTGGAAGCAGAAGTTTGGAATTCCCATAAGTAGGTTGAGCTTGCTGGAGGAGACAGAGCAGCAGGAATCAGTTCTAACTTATGTATATCATACACACACACACACACACACACACACACACACACACACACACACATACACTAGAGGCCCGGTGCATGAAATTCGTGCGGGGAGAGGGTTGTCCCTCAGCCTGGCCTGTACCCTCTTGCAATCTGGGGGAACATCCCCTTGGAGGATGTTCGACTGCTGGTTTAGGCCCAATCCCGCAGGCATCGGGCCTAAACCAGCAGTTGGACATCCCTCTCACAATCTGGGACCACTGGCTCCTAACTGCTTGCCTGCCTGCCTGCCTGCCTGATCACCCTTAACCACTCTGCCTACCTGCCTGATGCCCCTAACCACTCTGCCTGCCTGGTTGCCCCTAACCACTTGCCTGCCTGCCTGATCACCCCTAACCACTCTGCCTGCCTGCCTGATCGCCCCTAACTGCTCACCTGCCTGCCTGATCTCCCCTAACCACTTGCGTGCCTGCCTGATCTCCCCTAACCACTTGCGTGCCTGCCTGCCTGATCACCCCTAACTGCTCACCTGCCTGCCTGATCGCCCCTAACTGCCTCTGCCTCAGCCCCCGCTGCCGTGGCTTCGTCCGGAAGGATGTCTGAAATGACGTTCAGAAGGTCATTAGGCTGTCCAGTCTAATTAGCATATTATGCTTTTATTATTATAGACTAGAGGCCTGGTGCACAAAATTGTGCACGGGTGGGGTCCCTCAGCCTGGCCTGCGATTGGGACCAATCGGAGCCAGCCAGCGGAGGGGAGGGACCACAAGAGGTTGGCCAGCTGCAGGAGGTTGGCTGTGGGAGCGCACTGACCACCAGGGGGCAGCTCCTGTGTTGAGCATCTGCCCTTTGGTGGTCAGTGCGCATCATAACTACCGGCTGGTCATCTGGTCGTAACAGTTGCTTAGGCTTTTATATATAGAGATTACATGTGTATGGCAGTCTCGGTAAAACAAGTTTAAGATAAATAGTTCTTGCCGAAACCGGTTTGGCTCAGTGGATAGAGCGTCAGCCTGCGGACTGAAAGGTCCCAGGTTCGATTCCGGTCAAGGGCATGTGCCTGGGTTGTGGGCACATCCCCAGTGGGGGATGTGCAGGAGGCAGCTGATCAATGTTTCTCTCTCATCGATGTTTCTAGCTCTCTATCTCTCTCCCTTCCTCTCTGTGGAATATCAATAAAATATATTTAAAAAAAAAAAGATAAATAGTTCTTAAAGCCTCCCTCTGCTCTCTGCCCAGGCTCGCCCGGCCCCAGCGTGGGGGCAGCCAGCCTTTGATGGGGAACGAGGTGACCTACTCATTAGAAGAAACCACCCCCCACTGCCAGCTAATAGGGCGACGCCGTCAGGGTGAATACAGATCAAAAATAAGAAAAAATGAATGAATTCTCCCGGCTGCAAAAGAGGAAAACAGAGTTCACCTCCCTCCCCGTCCTTAGAGCGTTACTTTAGGAACCTTCTGCGGAATTGTAAATCGTTTCTCTACCCCTTTGAGACGTATGGCAGTATTTTAAAAGCTAAGCCAGTCTCCAGCCGGCTTTACAACCTGGGAAACTGTTTCTCAAAGACCCGGGAGGCGTCCCTTTGAAATATCATCACCCGGAAGGACAGCGCCCAGCCTGTGGGTCGCCTGGGGGCAGGAGCCTACCTTCTGCGGGTGCCTGGCTCCAGGTTGCAAAACTACCTCTGGTCATAACGTCACGGGGTGAAGGCAATGCCGGTGCCTCCTTTATCACAGGTGGGTTTTGGCGGGACCAGCGTGCCCTCCGGCTTGAGCACAGCCCCTCCACCTTGAGCACAGGTATGTATGCTCCGGGCGCGGCTGCCTGGCTGTACCTGAGGGTGAGGTTTCCTCTGGCTTTGCAGTCCCCAGCGCTTGCCTGTGATGGGCATCTGCACCCAGCAAAGCGTGCTTTCCTTCTCTTTGTGGGAGGTTTTTCCGGCCCGGCAGGACATTTTCCCTGTCATTTTTCCTGCTTTACATCCCTTTGCTATGTTTTGCTGTCTCCCGTCAGCTTGATTCCAATGAGGCGATCTCCAAGGTTACAGGCGGCACTGATGAGCGTGGGGCACGAAGGCCAGCTGGTGGGCACTCACGGTGCCTTCTGACTGTCATCACGACCGCCCCCCATACACCGCCTGCTCCACTCTGACCCGGAAGCTGTGTTCAGGGGGTCACACACCACCTGCTCTGAGCCTGGGGACCTTTTTTAACCTCGTCATTCAGGGGCTGGCCGGGGGAGGTTACCCTCTTGGGGCGCAGCGTTGGGAGGTGGCACCAAAACACTCAGCAATGGCCCTGGCCGGTGTTGCTCAGAGGGTAGAGCGTCAGCCTGCAGACTGAAGGGTCCCGGGTTCGATTCCCGGTCAAGGGCACATGCCCAGGTTGCGGGATTGATCCCCTGTAGGGGGCGTGCAGGAGGCAGCCGGTCCATGATTCTCTCTCATCATGGATGTTTCTCTCTCTCCTTCTCCCTTCCTCTCTGAAATCAGTAAAAATATATTAAAAAAACAAAAACAAAAAAACACTCAGCAATGAAGACCGTTATGGGCTGAATGTGGGTGCCTCCCCCAAACCCCCCAAATTCATGTTGAAGCCTACCCCCTAATGTGAGGGTATTTGGAGGCGGCCCCTTTGGGAGGTGGTTAGGGTTAGATGAGGGCATGAGGGTGGAGGCCCTGTGATGGGATAAGAGGCCTTATAAGAAGAGAAAGAAAGACGGGAAGTCTCTCTCTCTTTCCTTCTCTCTCTCTCTCTCTCTCTCTCTCTCTCTCTCTCTCCCCCCCCCCCCCCCCATGTGAGGACACATAGCAGGAGGCTGCCTGCAAGCCAGGAAGAGGCCCCTCCCCCGGGAACCAAATTGTCTGGCCCCTGATCGGGGACTTGTCAGCGTCCAGAGCTGCGAGAAATCGATTTCTGCTGTTTAAGCCTCACCAGCCGATGGCACTGTGTTATGGCAGCTTGAGCTGACCAATCATAAGACAAATGATATTTAAATGCAAGATATTTTTTAAATTAAAATTATTTTTTTAAAAAAAATATATTTTATTGATTTTTTACAGAGCGGAAGGGAGAGAGATAGAGCCAGAAACATCGATGAGAGAGAAACATCCATCAGCCACCTCCTGCACATCCCCCACTGGGGATGTGCCCGCAACCCAGGTACATGCCCTTGACCGGAATGGAACCTGGGACCCTTCAGTCCGCAGGCCGACGCTCTATCCACTGAGCCAAACCAGTTTCGGCTTAAATTAAAATTAATACCCAAAGTCCACGATGAACAAAATGTCAGCATTTTAAACAGCAACAGGTTCCACCCCACTCGCCTGGCCTGGCCCGAAGGGAGTGCTCCCCATCTCGGGGCACCTCCAGGCCGGCTGGTGCGTGGGAGCGGGAGGGAGAGGGACACGGGCTGCAAGCTGACCCGGGGCCACGGAGCACGGGGACTAAGGACAGTGTCTGCGGCCACGGCAGCACCGTCGTCTCAGCTCCTGCTACTTATGAGACGACCAGTGACCCCCTCTCCCCCTCGGACGAGTAAGATAGACAAACAGGTTTTCTCCAAACTCAGGCAGGTGGCACTGCGCCCTCAAATATTTACTGAGCAAATAGGAGTATTTGGCTCCCAGCTGGGCTCAGCAGGCAGCTCTGAAGAGCCCAGGACTCAGCTCCACCCGGCTCTGTGGGGACGGAACCAGCCCCCAGCCTGCGCCTCCAGCTGGCACCTCAGGTGGGACAGCCACCACCCAGCTTGGAGGAGTCTGCGCCAACAGCCCATTTTCCCGCGGAGGGAGGTGCTGCCCTTTGCTCACGCTTCCCGCGAAGCCCGCCTCCCCGGAGCGTTGAAACCACAGCCAGCGCTCCGCAAGCCCAGGCCGAGGGGGGACCCAGCTTGGCGTTCACTAGCTTGCAGGTCCCCAAGCCCCGATGTCTTTGACGAAAACAAGACCTTCCTTTGTTCACTCCATCGCCCTGTGCCACCGGGCGTGTGGCCTTAAGGCCTGGCATGGCTGGCAGGGCAGAGGGGCAAGGGGCACGGTTGGCTGGGCCTCCCGCGCTCCCCTGGCACCGGGCCTGGGCGCACCAGGAGGCTTAGGCAGTGCCCGGGCCTTGGGAACTGCCCTGAGCGCTGGCTGGGCAGCGGCTCCACCCCCAGCCCCAGGTTCTGAACCGCTGCCACACGCTAAAGTCCACCCAAGCGGCCGAGAAGCGGTGCCCTGTACCCTCGCTTCCTATCTGTGAGTAGGTCCTCAGGGCTTCCTCTGCTCCGCGGCGGACAGTCCATCTGCTGGGGCTGTACTGCTTCTCCAGCTCCTACGGGACACGACGGGTTCCATTAGACCTCCGGCCGCCACCGTGTGCCCGCCTCCCTCCCGCCTGGGGGCTCCTCTGCCCCAGAACCCCCCCCCCCATCTCAGGCTCCCACAGCGGCCCTCCGCTGCCTGGCTAGCCCTGCCCACCCTACCTCCCCCATCCACCCACCAAATAATCAGGAGCTTCAGATACAGCAAACGGCCATAAAGGGAAGATGAGGCCCCATAAATGTGACCCGATTAACCCCAGCGGCTCAGACCCAGGGAGGCCGGGGAGCTGGGGTGGCCGCCGCAGAGAAAGGGACGTGGAGTTGACCTCCCCCGAGGGTGGGATCTGACGCAGGAGGACACTGCACAGCCGCAAGCACGGAGGTGACAAGGGAGGAAGGAACTGAAGGTCAGCTGTGAGCCGCTGACCGGCCAGCCCGCTAAACGCAGAGGGAGGCCGGGAGCCTGGGGCTGAGGGCCGCGGGCCTTGAACGCCAGGCGAAGATGTTCGGACTCAATCCAGAAAGTAGGAGGAACAGGGGTTTGGGACAAAGGCACAGGGGGACGGGGAAAGGCCGGGCTGGGAAATTCATGGCGAGGCCGTGGGCTCTGGAGTCGGCTGGGTCGGGTGCCCTCCACGCTCCATCACTGACAGGCCGTCTTCCCCTGGACAGTCCTCTGGGGTAAGACTTCACGGGCTCTGGGCCTCAGCTCCCTCATCCCGGTAACGGGCATAGCAACAGCAGCCTCACACGGTCAGAAGTCGTAAGGCGTGTGAACCAATAAGGCGACCACTCAGCTGCGGTGACCGCCTCTTGCTGCTGACAGGGCTGCTGGCCAGGGGTCTTGGGGTCTGAACCCTCTCACCTGCACATGCTATTGTCGAGGGGTGTCTGCAGCCGGCCCGGCACAGCCTGTGACTGCCGCCAGCATCCTCATGGCTATCTTCACGATGGTGACAGTGCAATGGGTTTCTGATGGGCCTCTGATATTGTAGGGGTGTGTGTGTGTGTGACAGAGAGACAGGCACACAGTGGGATTTCGTAGGGGCAGGATCCACACTTATAACTCATCAGATTCTCAGAGGCCTCCCTGGCCAGAAAAAGGGACACTGCCTACCTCACACACGGGAAAGCCAGTTAGGAAATCACAGTCGAATGGTGACCTGACAAGGCCCTGCGCACTGGTAGGTGGTTCTGGCCCGCGCGCACCGCCCTGCACACGGCCTCTCGCACCCTCGGGCGCCTGGCACATCCTTCACTCGCGTTGCATAACCTCAGACTCCGGCGGGACTTCGGCCCGGACTCCGGGGGCTCATGGCTATTCGCGTAGCCAGGGCTTCAGCGATCCCCACCCTTCAAGGGAGGCTCCCCGGCTCACAGAGGCCTGCGGGGGGCGGGGGCGAGAGCCCGGTGCCGGCGCACAGTAGGCCCTCAATGGCGCCCCGGGATGGCCTCGAGGGCTTCTCAGCTCCTGCTGAGAACCTCCACCTGACCATCCTCAGCCCTCAGCCCCGGCCTCTCCTGCCACCCGCCTACCTCTCCCGACATCTTCCTCCAGGGAGCCTCGCCCTTGCGCTCCTCCTGCGGCGCATCCATCCCGTCTCCGCTCGCACCCGCTAGTGCCCGGCGCACCGCTCACCCGGGCGGACGGGGCGGGCGAGGTCAGGAAGGCCACGCCCACCCCGCCCGCCCCGCCCCGCCCCCCACCCCCACCCCCCACCCCACCCCCACCCCCCCCCCCCCCCACCCCGGGACCCGAGCCCCGCGGCACGGCCCGGACCGCCCTGGGGGCGTCTGGCTGCGGATAAATCTCCCGCCAGCTCCGGCCGCGGTGATTGGCCCGGGCGCCGGCGATAAAGGCGGGAGCGCGGGCCCGGCGCGAGTTTCTGCAGCGGCGGCCGGGGCTTCCCTCCCGCGAGCTCCCGCGGCGCCATGAGCTTCAACCTGCCCACCGTGCTGCCCGGCGCCCCCAGCCAGGCCCGCGGGCAGATCCAGGTGCGGGCGCGGCGGGCCTGGCGCGGGGTCCGGGGCGGGAGCGGGGGCGAGATCGGTGCCCCAGCGCCCGTGCGCGGCGGCCCCGAGCTCACCTCTCCTCCTCTCCTAGGTGATTCTCGGACCCATGTTCTCAGGGAAAAGGTAACGGCCTCGCGGGGTGGGGGGTGGTCAGGACCTCCTCCTCCTCTCCCTCCTTCCTCCTCCCCCACCCGGAACACGCCCTCCTCCCCTCCACCCTCCCTGGCCGGTCGCCCTGGCAGGCCCCACCACCGCCAGACCCCGCGAGCCCGCCGGGATGCCTGCCCCTCCCATGCCTCCCTCCCCAGCCCCCCGCCAGATGCCTGCCCCTCCCATGCCTGCCCGCCCCACCCCACCCCCCCGGGATGCCTGCCCCTCCCATGCCTGCCCGCCCCACCCCACCCCCCGGGATGCCTGCCCCTCCCATGCCTCCCGCCCCCCCCCATGCCTGCCCCTCCCATGCCTCCCCCCCCATGCCTGCCCCTCCCATGCCTCCCGCCCCCCCCATGCCTGCCCCTCCCATGCCTCCCCCCCCATGCCTGCCCCTCCCATGCCTCCCGCCCCCCCCATGCCTGCCCCTCCCATGCCTCCCGCCCCCCCATGCCTGCCCCTCCCATGCCTCCCCCCCATGCCTGCCCCTCCCATGCCTCCCCCCCCCATGCCTGCCCCTCCCATGCCTCCCCCCCCATGCCTGCCCCTCCCATGCCTCCCCCCCCCCATGCCTGCCCCTCCCATGCCTCCCTCCCCACCCCACCCCCCGGGATGCCTGCCCCTCCCATGCCTCCCCCCCCCATGCCTGCCCCTCCCATGCCTCCCCCCCCCATGCCTGCCCCTCCCATGCCTCCCGCCCCCCCTCCATGCCTGCCCCTCCCATGCCTCCCTCCCCCCCATGCCTGCCCCTCCCATGCCTCCCGCCCCCCCCATGCCTGCTCGCCCCATGCCTGCTCCCCCCCATGCCCCCCCCTAAAACGTAGTCCTGGAGGAGGCCCTCCTCCCCTGCCCGACAGGCCACCCCTCCTTCCTGAGCCCCGCACTCAGAAGGGGGCGCCAAGTCTTAAAAGCTGCGCCTCTGGGCCTCCTTCCAGGGAGATTTCCTTGGACGCCGAGCGCACTGAGCCTGAGCCCCAAGCCTGCGTCTGCTCCCCCGGGCCCGCTGTGATAGGACCGGAGGAGGTGGGGCTCCTGAGCCCCTCAAAACTCCCTGGCTCTTTTTTTTTTAATGATTTCATTGGTTTTTAGATAGAGGAAGGCAGAGGGAGAGGTAGAAGCATCAATCAGCTGCCTCCTGCACGCCTCCTACTGGGGACCTAGCCGAAACCCGGCATGTGCCCTGACAGACACAGTGGGTGTCTGTGAGCCCAGGGAGGTGGCGGGGCCTGGCCTGGCTGGCGGGTCCTCCCCACTGCCCTCGCCGGTGGGCCTCACTGCCCCCTGCCCGCGGGCCTCACTGCCCCCCTGCCCGCGGGCCTCACTGCCCCCCTGCCCCCGGGCCTCACTGCCCCCCTGCCCGCGGGCCTCACTGCCCCCCTGCCCGCGGGCCTCACTGCCCCCCTGCCCGCGGGCCTCACTGCCCTCGCCGGTGGGCCTCACTGCCCCCTGCCTTTGCAGCACTGAGCTGATGCGGCGGGTCCAGCGCTTCCAGATCGCCCAGTACAAGTGCTTGGTGATCAAATACGCCAAGGACACGCGGTACAGCAGCCAGTTCTCCACGCACGACCGGTCAGTCCGCCCCCTCCTGACACCTCACCTGAGAAGCCCCGTGAAGTTTCACGGCACAGAACATGCTGTCAGAGCCTTCGGTGGGCGGTGGAGCAGGCTGACGCCTGGCATGGAGTGTTCCAGTCGGCAAACTTCTTAGGTTGCCTGGCACGGGAGCCTGGGACGAGGCCTTTCCCGGGGCTCTAGCCCCGTGGTTCTCCACCGGGGGCGATTCTGCCCCCCAGAGTCCATTCAGCAACGCCTGGGAATGTGTTTAGTTTTCACAACTGGAGGGGGGTGCGTGCCTCTGGCATCTGGAGGGCAGAGGGCAGGGGTGCTGCTGGGCATCCTGCAATGCTCAGGGCATAGGGCGGCCCCCACGCCACAAGGACCCGCCACTGTCGCCTGTAGCGCCTGCCAAGGTTGAGAGCCCTGCAGAGGCTGCCAGCTGGTTTTGTTTGGCCTACATTTTGGTTTTTGTTGTTGTTTTTCTTTCTTTTTTTTTTTTTTTAAATATATTTTATTGATTTTTTTACAGAGAGAAAGGGAGAGAGATAGAGAGTTAGAAACATCGATGAGAGAGAGACATCGATCAGCTGCCTCCTGCACACCTCCTACTGGGGATGTGCCCGCAACCCAGGTACATGCCCTTGACCGGAACCGAACCCGGGACCCTTCAGTCCGCAGGCCGACGCTCCATCCACTGAGCCACACCGGCCTCGGCTCTTCCGATTTTTAAATGAAATGAAAACGTTTTGTTGGCTCCTAATGGCACCGTGGGGCCCAGACACTGCCCGAGAGTCATCATGTGCACCCAGGGGCCCCGGGGAGAAGCAGAGAAGCGCTTTACGTGGTTGGCATCGCTAATTTCTAGTCCTGAGCGTGCGGTGAAACGGCGTGTGTAGAATAACCGGTTTTCCGCACACGGGCCTTTCCTCTCCCCAGAGGGCTTTGCGTGGGTGCGGACGTCGCCAAGCTGTAGGCAAACATGGCAGCCTGCCCTGCCAGCAGAGCTGGTGCCAGCGCCGGCCCCTGGTCCTGCCTCTGGTTTGGGTCTCCGGGTGCCCTGGCCTGTTCACCTGCCTCTCTCCCCAGGAACACCATGGAGGCCCTGCCGGCCTGCCTGCTGCGGGACGTGGCCCAGGAGGCCATGGGCGTGGCTGTCATCGGCATCGACGAGGGGCAGTTTGTAAGTTGGCTCGTCCGGGCTCGGCCTTCCTGTGACCCCCCTGACCGCCCCCCTTTCTCATCTTTATCTTGTTCTCTGGGTTCAGCTGGGCAGCGAGTGGTAGGCTTACCCCTTCGCCTTGCTCCTTTGGAGACGCGCCTGCAGGCCTGTAGCCGCTGGGAGGGTTGCGGCCGCCCTGCCTGCAGCTCCCTCTCCCGCCGGCCAGCGGCCAGCGGCTGCCCTCCGCACAGCCTGCCGCAGGGCTTTCGTGTCCATTCCTCCTGGTTTGTTTGGTGTGTCTGACTGTGGGCGCTCGTGGCGTGGTTTCTGGCCGGGAGCCGACTGCCTGTGAGGTTCTCCGGGCACTGAGTCCCCATGTGCTGGGTTTGAAGACTATTTTCCATTTCTGGGATTTCCGGTCAGCTCCTCTTTTATTTTTATTTATTTTTTAAAATATGTTTTTGTTGATTTCAGAGGGAGAGAGAGAATCACTGAGCATTGATCGGCTGCCTCCTGCACGCCCCCCACTGGGGATGGAGCCCGCAACCCGCACATGTGCCCTGACCGGGAATTGAACCGTGACTTCTGGTTCATAGGTCCACCTCAACCCCTGAGCCACGCCGGCTGGGCCAGCTCCTCTTTTATATCTGCTGTGCGTCTGCGTGTAAGAACCTGCATTTCTTTCTAATCGGTGCTGTGCGTGCATCCTGTCCTGACTGCGTTTCTCTTTCGTTCGCATCTCCGTTTAAGGCCTGCCCCGTTTTTCTCTCGGTTTGTCCTACATCTAGCAGATGTGACATACGTGGTGCTGCTCGGTCATGTGCTGTAAATACTTCTTTTTTGTTTAATTTTCACCTGAGGATATTTTCCCATTGATTTTTAGAGAGAGTGGAAGGAAGGAGGGGGGGAGAGAGAGAGAGAGAGAGAGAGAGAGAGAGAGAGAGACATCGATGTGAGAGAGACACATCAATGATGACAGAGAATCATTGCCTGCAACCAAGGTATGTGCCCTTGACCGGCATCGAACTTGGGACCCTTCAGTCTGAGGACTGACGCTCTATCCACTGAGCAACACCGGCCAGGGCTGTCACATCCTTCATTCCTGCCCCTGGTGGCCTTCGTGCCTCGGTGCCAGCATGAGGGCCAGGACGCGGAGCCAGAGGTCGTCAGCTGCCACCTGAGCCAGCCGGCTCTGGGCAAGCTGATGACGGGGTGCACACCTACCTCCTGGCATCCTGGTTTCCCCTTTGGGTTCTCCCCCATTGGACCTTGCTCAGGAGGCAGCTCGCTGCAGGTGGGGGCGGCGGCGGAACCGTACCCGGAACCCCAGTGGGCAAACGCGCCACCATCCTCCTTTCCTACCTTGTCCCTGTACTGCAATTACTTTACAACGAAGCCCCAAATTTACTCAGTACTTTGAAATCCCATTTGAAATGTAACCTGTAGCCTGGCCCGTGTTGAGTGTCCACCTGTGAACCAAGAGGTCACCGGTTTAATTCCCCGGCGAGGGCACAGGCCCTGTTGCAGACTCGATCCCCAGAAGGGGGCGTGCAGGAGGCAGCCGGTCAATGAGTCTCTTATCATTGATGTTTCTATCTCTCTCTCCCTCTCCTTTCCTCTCTGAAATAAAAAAATATATATATATTTTTTAAAATGTAAATCCTTAAAAAAAAAATCAATGGACAAAATATGCTCGCTCCTTGAGTGACGATTAGTTAAAATCCAAACAAAACTAACGGCCATAAGTGAGGTTCCCGGTGGGGGAATGCAACCGACACCTGGGTGCTCCGTCCTTACCTTGGACAGTGGGGAAGTCTTTCCTGGGGCCCAGGGGCGGCGTGTGAGCGGGACAAAGCTTCAGGCAGAAGCACCTGCTCTTCGTGGGCACCAGTGTCGCGAGTGGGGGGCCGAGGTCCCTCTGAGCGTCCTCGGGTGAGGAAGGGCTGTCCTGACGTGTCGGTGTGGACGGCGATGCTGGCCAGTGGCAGGCCTTTCCCGTGGCTCCCGGCAGCTGCTGCTCAGGTAGCATCACTGGGCGCTCACTCCTCCGCCCGTGCTTTCCAGTTCCCGGACATCGTGGAGTTCAGCGAGACCATGGCCAACGCCGGGAAGACGGTCATCGTGGCTGCGCTGGACGGGACCTTCCAGAGGAAGGTAAGGCCCAGGTCTGGGTCCTGGGGTGGGACCCGGAGGGAGGAAGAGGCCTGGCAGGCACAGGTGTGCATGGAGACCGGCAGCCCCGCGAGCCTCCCCTTCTCAGCGGGCGCTCCCTGGATGCCGGCTCTCGCCCGAGCCCAGGCCCTCAGACAAGCCAGCCCAGCTCCCTGGTGTGCCCGGGCATGAGTCCGCCCCAGACTGGGTGCCCTCACGGCAGGGGCTGGCAGGGGGGGGGCGGGGGAGGTCCAGGCAGCTTCCTGGCTCCAGGGCTTGTGAGTCAGAGGATCTGAAAGCCGAGCCGGCCAGGTGAGCACCCCTGCCGCCCCGGCCAGGCCTTCGGGACCGTCCTGCACCTGGTGCCGCTGGCCGAGAGCGTGGTGAAGCTGAACGCCGTGTGCATGGAGTGCTTCCGCGAGGCCGCCTACACCAAGAGGCTGGGCCTGGAGAAGGAGGTAGCCGCCCGCTGTGCCCAGGGGTGGGGGCCCGGGGTGCTGTGCCCGCTCAGTCCAGGACCCTTTGTGTCCCCAGGTCGAGGTGATTGGAGGAGCCGACAAATACCACGCCGTGTGCCGCCTCTGCTACTTCCGGAAGGCGTCGAGTCCGCCCGCCGCGCTGGACGGGGAGGACAAGGAGAACTGCCCGGCGCCGGGGAAGCCGGGGGAGGCTGTGGGCGCCAGGAAGCCCCTGGCCCCTCATCAGACCCTGCAGTGCAGCCCCGCCAACTGAGCCCGGGGTGGCGACCCCTAGCGGACACCTGCCCCGCGTGAGCCGCCTGTCGGAGGAGGAAGCGGGCGGGCGGCTCACGGGCTGTGGAAGCTGTCTGCAGGCCCTTGCCCGCGGTGGTCCGCAGCCCGTTTCCCCCTCTGCCTGCCCACCGGCCTTTCTCAGTTCCCTCCCGGCGGCTGGAGCCGGCCCTGCGCTGCGGCTCTGGTTCTGGCCTGGCAGCCGCGGCTCCTTCTCCTTTGGGGTGCGGAGCAGGCCACAGGCTGTGGTGACATCGGCGGCGCTGGCTTCTTCCCTCTCTGTGGCTTTCGCTGTTGAGTTTCTGTTCTCACCGGCAAGTCCCGGGGCAGCAGCGCGGAGTCTCGCTCCATCCCTGTGCCGGGACCGGGGACGCCGGCTGTGCCTTCTGGCTTCTCCCCGCCGCGAGCCCTCCCTATTCTGGGATCACTTTCTCAGAAGTACAGCATCTGTCACGTGGGTGGCGCTCACCCGGCTGGGGCTCGGGCCCAGGGCTTTGCTGTCTTTTCGGTGGGGGGGGGGGGGCCAGAGGCAGGCCCCTGGGTCTGCTGTTGCCGTGTGTGAAGTTAATGACTAACATTAAAATGTGCTGGTTGCTGGGAGCGCATTTCTCTCGAACCACCTGGAATTCCCCGGGTGCACAGCAGACACTGATGTGATCTGTTGGGGATTTCTTTCCAGATCTTTCTCTAGTTCTGCTGCTCTCAGCCACAGCCTTTCCTGACAGACATGGTGGTGGAGCAGGTCCTACAAGGAACGTTCCCTGTTCTCTCCAGATGGGGTTCGGGACAGAATGGGGTTCGGGACAGAATGGTGAACAGAGGCGCCCGGCCCGAGTTAAAAGAGGAGGCGGCTGCTCAGTGCTGCCAGCTGGGGCTGTGGGGTCAGGTTTTGTTTGTGAAACAGACACTTGGCAATTCAGGAGCCAAGAAAACGAGCTCAGCTGCCCCTGGCGCGCGCCGTGGGTGGGGCGGGGCGGGGGGGGGGTGGGGCGGGCCTGGCTGCAGGGCTGCCCGGGCACGTGGGCTGGGGTCCCGGTTACACTGAGGAGTTGCACACAGCGAGGCTGTAACTCAGAACCCTGTATGTTGTTACTCGGGTTTTGAAATGACTGGGGCCCACTTCTGACAGCTGCCTCTGTCATTGCTCAAGGGGAGCTGCTGCAGGCCCTGGCCTCCCGGGGGCGGGGTGCTGGGTGCCAAGCCTGCCTCTGCCACCTCCTGCCTGGGAAGGGCCTGGAGGGGCTGAGTGCTGTCTGCTGGAGTGGAGGACCCCGGACCCAACCAGGGCGCCCCCCCCCCCGCCACACACACACACACACACACAGGGGAAGGGGCACTGGGAGGGCCAGCTCCTGTGCCTCCACCACAGCTAGCAAGGGCGCAGGCAGCCTGGCCTGGTCCTGTTTGCCAGCTGAGCGCAGCCGCTATTTTAAGGTGCTGATGGAAGGCAGTGTGAGGAATGCGACCCCAGATGGGGAGAGGGCAGGCGCTGGGCGCGCTGGAGGGGCAGCTGGCCACAACCTTGTTCAAAATGCAGGTTCCAGGCCCCCCCCCCCCCCCAGTGGAACTTCTCCCCCTACTGAGGCCAGCCAATGACAGTGGAGATTATGAATGAGAAAAACATTTATTTCATCTCAGAACCAGCCTATCAATCTGGGGGGGTGGGGGGGGGGTGTCTTCCCCAAAAGCTTTCTAATACCTTCAGCACAGCCTGGGGCTGTGGGGACACCCACACCTCCTACCTAAGGCAGAATATTTACATAAAGCTGGGTGTTGTCAGGCAAAGCCCCTCCCTGCTGTGGGGAGGGGCGGGGGGGGGGTGGTAGGAGCAGGGGCAGGAAGTGCTGCCCAGTGGCCCCTGGGTGGGCACCAGCCCTGCCCCATGGCTGGCAGGAGGAAGACCCAGAGGCACTGGCACAGGGGAGTGACCCCAGCCAAGCGAGCAGACCCCATAGCAGCCAGAGGGCTGCCGCCTCAGGGCAGGCAGGGGAGGGTGCCAGCAAGGGACAGTTCCCAGAAGCCTCTGGGAGCGGAGAGGGCACTGAGGTGGGCACTGAGGCAGAGGCGGGCAGACCTGAGTGAGGAGGAAGGGAGAGCCAGCCCCACACCAGCACCAGCAAGTGGGAGCCCCCCGGCCTCATCTTTGGCAGAGAACCCCAACTCCCTGGGGCCCGGCTCCCTGTGGGCTTGGGAAAACGAAGGCACTTATCAGAACAGCATGGCGGCACTTCTAGCTACCGGGCGGGGCTGGGGACCATTAGAAGCAGTGACAAGTGTCTAGCTAAAAACTCTTCTTTAAAAATGCCCTGAGGAGGTGGGTGCTGCCTGGGGCCTGGGCACTCTGGCACGGGAGGCAGGGGCTGTCCAGCTTTGCCTGGGCTCCCACAGGCCCAGTGGGACCAGAGGGGCCGGCAGCCCCTGGAGGCACGCCTTGCGGGCGAGAGGAGTCCAGGACCCAGGGTGGCCCTCCAGGCACCCTCCCGGCCCCGTTACCATCCCCTGCGGCGGCTCAGTACACAACGGGAGGCTGGTAACCCTCGGTGGCCTCCGAGTTCTGAGTGAACGGAGGCTGCTGGTAGCTGTCCACCGGCGGGCCCGGGTAGGAGGCGTAGGCTGTGCTGGGGTCGGGGGTGGGGTCCGCGTAGTTCTGCATAAAGTCGTCCACCCCGGCCTTGTAGCGCTGGTAGGCCAGGGCGGCCAGCAGGCCCTGCAGGGAGGCTGAGGTTGGCTCCTCCACGCCCTCCCCAAGCCCTCCCCTGCCCTTCCCCGAAGACCCCAGGAGCCCGGCCCGCCCCGCCCGGCCCACCTACCCAGGAGAAGATGGAAAAGAAGCTGAAGGTGATGGCCGCTCGGGCTGAGTCCGCTCCCAGCAGCACATCCTTCGGGTTGGTGGCTGCCCACTGGTTGGTAAGGAAGCAGAAACCCACGAACCACAGGAAGGTCCAGAGAGCTGGGGAGGGGCGGGAGGCAGGGTCAGCTCCACAGACCGGGCAGGCAGCTCCCAGAAGCCTCTGGGAGTGGAAAGGGCGCTGAGGCAGACGCCGGGTGGGCACTGGGTGCCATCTCAGGAGGCCTGGCTCCAAGGCCCCATGCTCATCACAGCACCAGCGGGCTTCCGACGGTTAGAAATCTGTGCACGAGCCTGTCTGCTCCAGGGGGACCTCGCGCCTCTTCCTGCCCCTCCTGCAGCTCCAAGCCGCCCTCCCCCCCCCGCCCCACCAGCAATCAGAGACCCCTAGAGCGCCTGGGAACACGGCCGCTTCCATCCACCTCCCGGGAGATACCTGAGAAGAGCAGGTCGCCGATGACCAGGTACTTGCGGTCCACGGCGTTGCTGATCTGGGGGAAGTAGACGTCGACCACGAAGAAGAAGGCGCAGGCCAGGAAGGCCAGCACGCCGATGGCGCTGCCGTAGCGGCAGGCGTCTTCGTTGCGGTTGAAGACGCAGTACCTCTGGTGCGACTCGTGTGTGTTGCTGTAGCCCTCGCCGAAGATGCAGGAGAACACTATCAGGGCGAAGACCTGGGGGCAGGGCGGAGGGCTGAGCGGCGGGCCAGCCCCCAGGGCCACGTGGGGTGGGGGACCCTGTCCTCGCTCCTTAAGGGGGTCAGCATCCAAGCCCCTCTGAACATGGGGGTGAGCTGGTGAGCCAGTTGCCTCCTGAGGCGCGGCCTTCATTCTCACTTCTCCCTTCTCCCCGCCTCTCCAGACCAGAGGACAACACTGCTGCCACCAAGGGGCATGGCGGGTGGCTCCTGGCGGGGGATTCCTGGACCGTGGGCGCAGAAAGGACGGGGAACTCCTGGGAGGGGACCACCCTGCCCCGCTGCCTGTGGGATGGGGATTAGGGGCCATCTGGCCACTTCCACATTCAATGAGTGTTAAACACGACAGGCCACACAACCACAGAAGCTCAGGCCTGGAATCTCACCCCCTGATCACCTGCCTGTCACCCCCCCAGCGCCCACCCGCTGCCTGATGCCCTGAAGGAAGACTCCCCACCTCTCAGCAAAGCCAGGCCACCCCGGCCCCTCCCACTCCCCTCCGCAGGCCGCAGGCCGACCTCCCCGTGTGTCCAGCTTTCTCTCTACAAGAACTTCCTGCCTCTGGCGTCCTGGCCACACCCCCCCAAGAGTGGGTGCTGACCACAGGGTGCTCCAGGCTGGCCTGCACTCAGAGCCCGGAGGTCCTGGGTCCTGGGTGAGCTCCCCAAGGGGTTCCAGTGGGAACAGCCTCCTGTCACCTGGTCTCCGCCCCAAACTTCAAGGCCACCCACCGCCCATCTCGGCAGACGCAGGGCTGTGTGGACACCTGGCTCCCTCTGGGCCGGGCCAGGCCTCCCGCCCCGCCGGCCTGCCTGCCTGCACCGGCCTCTCCGGCTGGTGTCACAAGCCCCGCCCAGGCTGGAGATGAAGCCGGAACTCCGGGATGCTGGGAGCGGGCTGCCAGGCCCGACTCCTGGCACTGCCCTCCGGACCCGCGGGCACCTGCTCCCGGGCTCAGACCCTACCGCCAGGCAGGGAGGGGGCCCGGGCGCCACCAGGGCACCCCAGAAGGTTCCAGTGCCAGACAGATGTGAGCAGGGAGGGCCCGGCCTGCTGCCCGCCCACCTGGCTTCGGGTGCCCGGTGCCCGGGAACAGGGACCCACCCCCACCTTCCACCCCCACTTTCCTGGTGCTGGGGGCTCGCCCGGCTCGGGGGGAAGAGGCACCTGAAGTCACCCGACCGCGGGTGGGGACACAGACCCGCAGGCTCCCCGGCGTGGAAAGGAGATCCTGTTTCGGGGCATCGGGCGCCCCCCCCCCCCCCCGCCCCACGTGGCTCGGGAAAGCCCCTTCCAGGTGAATCCCAGGCGGGAGCCGCGCGGCCCGCCGGCCACCTGTCCTGGAGCTGCCCAGGATCCTCCCGCCGCCAGCGGGGCACCGCCTGCTCCCCAGGCCTCCGGGGAGGGCGCCCGGGCCCCGGGGTGCGGTTGGGGCGGCCGAACCCGGGGATCGGGGGGGTGGGGGGAGGTGGCGGGTCCCGGTCCCCGCGCGCCGCCCTCCGCGCGCCGCCTCCCACCCCGCGGCTCCGGGCCGCTGCCACCTGTCGCGCCGGGGCTCGCGGGCGCCGGGCCGGGCGGAGGGGGCCCCGGTGCCCGGTCCCCCGCCCCGACTCACCAGGCTCACGGCGCGCGCCACCACCTGCGGCTGCGCCAGGAAGCGCCGCAGGTCGAAGGAGCCGCCCGCCTTGGCCGCGCCGTAGGCCCCGCTCTCCATGTCGCCGCTGCTGTCGCCGTCGCCGTCGCCGTCGCCCGCGGACGCCGAGGAGCCAGCGGGGCCCCGCCCCGCCGTTCGCCCCGCCCCGCCGTTCGCCCCGCCCCGCCCCGCCGTTCGCCCCGCCCCGCCCCGCCGTTCGCCCCGCCCCGGGGCGTGGCCAGCGCGGCCCAGGGACCGAGCGCAAAGTGCAGGCGGCGGCGGCGGCGGGACGCCCGGCTGCCGGGCCCTGGGCTGCGGCGACACCGTCTAGCCCCCGCGCTCGGCCCGGCGGGGTCTCGTCCCCGCTACGCTGGCCCGCGGCGCGACCCGAGGGGGGCAGGGGGGCCCCAGGGGCAGAGGGACTCACGGGGGACCCCGCCTTCCTTGGCGCCTGCTCTCCCGCCGCCTCCTCCAGGAAGCCCGACCGGACGCCTCTGGGCCGCACCTGCGGGGCCCAGGTCGCCGTGCACACCCACCCCCGCTCCCACCTCCCCCCCCGAACCCCAGGCCACCGCCTGGACCCGCCCTGCCTGGCCGGTCCTTCCCCCCTCCTCTCCGGAGGGAGCCTGGGGTGGGGTGGAGACACCCCAGTTCTTCCCCTGCTGCGCCCCCTAACCCCCTCCCCATGGTGAAAGGCGGCGGGACTTCAGACGGCCAGGCTCCAGGATGGGGTGCGGACAGAAACGGGGTTCCAGAGCGACAGGGGGGGCAGAGTTTAATCCAGTTCTTTCCTGAGCTGGTTCAGAGCAATGAACAGGGAAGGCGGTGAGGGGAGGGGTGCAGGCTGAGGACGGGGACCCAGACAGCCCTCCTTTGCCCGTCAGGTCAATGAGGGGGTGCTCGCCAGGTGGGCCAGAGGACTGGCCACCAGGAGATGGGGTGCCCTCGGGGAAGAGGGGAGCGGCGAGGGGAAGAGGCCCTGGGTGGGGGTGCAGCTGGGCCTTTTCAGTCCCCCCACCTCCTTCCTGGACCTGCATGGATGGTGACAGGCAGCCTCCCGGGACCTCTTCTTCCCCCCACCCCCCAACCCCCATCTTGACATCCTCGTGCAGAGCAGCAGGGCCCGGGCTGGCGGCTGTTCTTCAGTCCCAGGGGCTCCTCCTGTCCGGCCGGGATGGGCTCGTGGGGGCTCTGCTGACCCTGCACCTGCTGGTCACAACCTGGACACAAAGGAGGCGAGACTCCAGGTGAGGGAGCCCTCCTCCCAGCCCCCCTCCCAGGCCTCTGGGAGTTTTATGGCGCCAGGGTCATCAGTGCCTGGGGGGGGGGGGGCGGGAGGCTTTGTCACCCCACTAAGTGAAGGGGGCACCGAATCACCCTGGGGGGAGTGCTGGCCCAGGTCACATGGCGAGTGGGGATCTGGTCTCTACACCCCATTTTGTAGAAGGAAAACTGAGGCTCAGAGAGGTGACATGGGTCTGGCCTCTGGGAAGGAGGAAGGGACCCCCAGAGAAGACAAGGGGCCTAGGATAGACCCCTGGGGCAAAAGGGGGGGAGAGGCAGGGCCAGGAGACCAGTGTCAGGAAGCAGGGGAGGCGGGAGCTGATGGGGCCTGTGGTCGCACAACACAGAGGCCCAGGTCCAGGGGTTCCCCACCTTTTCTTGCCCACGCCCCCCTAAGCATCTCTAACATCCTGATGCCCCCCGCTCCCTGTGACATAGAATTCTTCAAACAGTGACTCCTCGTCACGGGGAGGAAGCCCAAAAGGCCATTCACTCAGTCTAAACAAGCTTCCCAAGAACATGGCATCCACGAAAGAGGAAAACAAAAGAACGGAAGGACAGTTGAAGTCCTGAGAAGGAAGTCACTGAGAAATTGTTAATAATAATAATATGAAGTGATAGGAAAAAATAGCAAATAAAATTTCAAAACATAATAGAGACCTGAAATGCCTAAATACGTCACAATATGTATTTCTATACTGTCTATGAGGCCCCTCAAACCAAAAGAAATGCAAAAAATTCACTGTTAATAACTCATTCTCAAATTGCCCCCCTTAAAAATCAAATTGCCCCCCTGTGGGGCATGTGCCCCACGCCGCTGGGAACCACTGCCCTGGTCACTTTACAAGTCATTGAAATGATGACCTGGGAGAGGGGACCCCAGGAGGCCCCATTCCTGACTCCGAGGTTCCCATGGAGGTCAGAAGCCCCTGGTCCCAGGAGGCATGTCCCCCATCCCAGCATCCCTCCTCAGACCTGTAGGACCACAGGGCAGTGTGCCACCCAGAGGCGAGCTGACTGCATTGCAGGGCGGGCAGCTGGGACCAGTGGTCATGGTCGTATAAAGCCACGAAGCAGCAAGCCCTCAGCAGGCACCTGGCGCCCAGTAGGTCCTCCGTCAACTCCTGCAAGCACCCACTGCGATACGGATACGGTCCTTTCCTTGCCCTGGTGGCGGCCCTGTCCTAAAGCCCAGCACCCTCTGCTCTCCAGCGGGTCCTCTGCTGGGCCACACAGCCCACCAGCTCTTCTCACTCCTCCCGCATCCGGCACCTGCCTCCTACCTGCTCCGCGCGGTCCAGCCCAACATCCCGGAGGTGATGGCTGCGATGGAGGTGAGGCTGGCAGCCAGCACGAAGGTGGCGGCCTTGGGCAGCTGGCCTGGGAGGGAGGCAGGTAGGGCCAGGGTCGGCATGGCTGCTTCTGGATGCCCTGCCCTGCCCGTGGCACCTCCCACCCACCTACCCAGCAGTGCCAGCTGCCCTCTGGAAACCAGGGGCCCTCTCACCTGGGGGCACCAGCGTGAGTGGGCTGCTCTGGACTCCAACGCCATTTTGGGCCTGGCACTGCAGCCAGGCCGGTGTCTGGGTCAGCGGGACGGAGAAGTTGGCGGGTTGCCCGTACGGCGGCGTCTGCCGCATGTGGACGTGCCCGTCCTTCCCGACCAGGCTGTAGGTGATGGGTGGGCTGCCCGAGGCCGCCTGGCAGGACATCTCCAACCTTGGCCCTGCCCCTCTGTCCAGTAGGGTGAGGCCAGTTTGCAGCTGGGACACAGGCTCTGGGGGGCGGTGGGGGGCGGACAGGAAGCACAGGCATGACTGGGAGACTCCAACACCCTCTCCCCAGCAAGTTCCCCTGTTCCCAAAATAATCAGCTGGAGGCCTGACTGTGATTGCGCCTCCTCCAGGCAGCCGTCTGGATTACTCCCTCCGCCTTGTGCCTGGGCTTCTACCCTACTTGCAGTGTGTACCTCACAATTTCTCATTCGGTGTTAGTTCATGTAGTATATTCTGGGTTGCCAGGCTTAGCAAACAGAAATGCAGGACGCCCAGTTAAATTTGAATTTCATGGAAACGATGAATAATTTTTTTTTTAAATCTTCATCTGAGGATCCTTTTTCCATTGATTTTTAGAGAGAGTGGAAGCGGTAGAGACAGAGAGAAATACATTGATGTCAGAGACACATCGATCAGCTGCCTCCTGCACACTCCCTACTGAGGATCGAGCCCACAAGCTGGGCAGGTGCCTGACCGGGAATCGAACTGGTGACCTCTCTGTGCACGGGACAATGTCCAACCGACTGAGCCATACCGGCCAGGGCAACAACAAATCATTTGTTAGTATGAGCATGTCCTATGCAAAATCTATCTGGCAACCCTGCTTCTAATCTTCCAGTCTTGACTCTTCTGCTGAAATACAAGCTCCTTCAGGACAAGAACTGCTACTTAGAAGAGTCCAGATTCTAGAATCCCCAGGCCTTCCGCCTGATGCTCTGAACAGCCCCATGCCTGGTCCAATCCTGACTACTGACTGAGAGCCCCCACTACCCCTCGGTACCCCTGGAGTAGGTGCTGCCATCTTTGTTTTGTAGGTGAAGCAGCCGAGGCTCAGAGAGGTTGAGTGACTTGCCCAAGAACCCACAGCCTGGAAGTGTGGGGGTTTGAACCCTCCACCTAAAGTGCTCCAGACACAGGGCTCTCCTCCCAGGCCGCCTCCAGGTTCGGGCCACAGGGTCACTGTCCCAGCCCCGGTCCGCAACGCTTCCGGCTGCCACCCCATGCCCCCCACCAGGAAGGACCCCTGGGGGAAGCTCAGGGTAGCACGGGAAGGACGCAGGACTTGGAGCTCCGTGCAGTGGGGCTGAGAACCACCCATTGCCACTTGCAGGCCGGGGCCTGGGACAACCGTCTTAATCTCCTAGAGCGTGAGCTTCCTCCCGTGCCTGCGGCTGCTGCGAAGACGAAACCTGATAAAACCCCGCATGCGCCCTTCAGCAGCTTGAGGTCGGAGCTCAGCCCCAGGGCTGTTTCACTCTCCCTTCAGCCCCCTGGGGGCCCAGCCAGGATCTAAACCTGGTGCTGTTTCACTCTCCCTTCAGCCCCCTGGGGGCCCAGCCAGGATCTATACCCTGCCTGTGACGCCTGTGACCAGGCCCCAAGGGACTGGGAGAGGCCCTGGAAGGTGGACAACCCTTGCCCAGCCCCCGGCCCCCAGCCCCCCAGGCTTCCACTCCCAGCCCCTGCTCCCCGCACCGCCCGCCCGCCCGCCCGCCCCCACTCCCCCTGCACTCACTGGCCCACAGCTCCCAGTACATCTGCAGCGTGGTGCTGGCCTGGCGCAGGCCCCAGGAGGTGCTGGCCTGGCAGGTGTAGGTGAGCAGGTCTGGCCTGGACTTGAGCGTGACGTTGATGTGGAAGGAGACGGGGTCGTGGGTGCTCACCATCTTCTTGGAAACTTCAATGTCCCGGCTCCCCCAGAGGGAGTAGGTGACGGGCGGGGGCATCTGCGAGTGGCAGGTGACGACCACGCGGCGGCCTTGGGGGAAGACCTCCAGGACTTGGTAGGCGATGGAGACCTCCGGGGTGAGTGCTGGAAGGTGAACGCAGGAGGAGGAAGGAAGCCAACATTTATCAGCGCGGGAAGAAAATGCTGGTTTGCCGGCGCTTCAAAAAGTTACACCGCGAATCACCATCTGACCCAGCAACGCTGCTCGTAGATATGCACCGAGAGGGCTGGCAACAACCCGGCCGGCAGGGCACAGGGGCTGAGCATCGACCTAGGAACCAGGAGGTCACGGTTCCATTCCCGGTCAGGGCACAGGCCCGGGTGGTGGGCTCCATCCCCAGTGGTGGGGTGTGCAGGGGGCAGCCGGTCCATGATTCTCTCTCATCATTGATGTTTCTCTCTCCCTTCCTCTCTGAAATCAATAAAGAGATTTTTTTTAATAAAACGACCAAGCTTTAATATTAAGAAAACATACAACCCCCCTCCCCCCAAACCCCTCACTCAGCCGCTCCCAGAGGGCGCCTCCGTCCAGACCTCCTCTCTGCTTGGAGGTGACTTTCTGTTTTGTCGGCAGGGCCTGGACCGGACTGGGACGCACACGACATCTCCAAGACCTTCCTGTGGAGCCTCTGGGGCTGCCCATGGAGAATTTTCCAAGCCACGATCGATGGATCGTTCGGATCAAACAACGCTGCCTTCTGAGTGCGGTTGGGGAGAGGGGTGTGTTCTTAATGGTGCATTTTCAAGACTAGTGTGTAGGGGCAGTGCAGAGGGAAGCGTCTATGAGACCCAGATGTCAGCCCGCGGGCATCCTCCATGCCCTGCTGGGCACGATGCCCTGGACACCACTGCGGTCAGCATACCACTCGCTGAGCAGAAACTTAGAACCAAGGGAGGGGGGTGGGGGGGGCGGGGGGGTCTCCGGAGACGCTTCCCAGTAGCCCGAGTCTCTGAGCACGAAGCCTCCTTCTCTCTAGACCAGGGGTCCTCAGCCAGGGCCCATCTCTCCAGGGGACCTTTGTGTGTCCGCGGGCGTTTCTGGTTGTCACCAGTGGGGGGCGCTCTCTCGGTGCCTCTTGCTGGACTTCAGGAGAGCCCCCGTTTTTATGGCTTGTTTTCCCACAGGGTCCCCGCAGACTCTTCCAACTGAAGTACGTTAAGCTGTATGTGGAGCTGGAGCTCGCTCTGGGGCACCGCTTTGCAAATCACTGCTAATAATTTCATCAGCGCGAGCCTGGGGCCAAAGCCCACCTCAGGCCAGCCTCCTAGGCCAGCCTCCTCCTCCCGGGGAGGGAGGCGGGAGGGAGGGAGGGGGGAGGGGTGCAGGGCAGCGGCACCCACACCTCTCGCTGCTCCTTCACCATGAATCAAAGCGACAGGAGAGCGGGCCCACCTTCACTTCCCGGACGGCTATTAGTGGAGCCTGGTTTACATACGTTTCCTCCCCGCTCACCTGCTCCCCGCCCAGGACGCCCACCCGCGGCGGCCTCCTGGGATGATTTGGTCTCTGCACCAGCCCGTTAAGGAGTGGCCGCGCATGTAATTTACATCGCACCACGGGCGTCAGAACCACGGAACGACGGGATGGCACACTCGGCATCACGGGGTGACCACGGGGCCCCCGGGACCTGGAGCGGAGCCCGCGGGGGCTGGGCTGGTGTTGCTGTGGCAGCAGCCCCGTCCCTCTCGCGTTTACCGCGTGTCCTGATGGCCTCGCTCTCGCCTGCGCTTGACTCGGTCTCGGGCGTTGTGCGCAGGGGCGTGCGGTCCAGGCCCAACGCCCGGAGCGGTGCGCGCCGCCTGCGGCCCAGGTGGTGCAGTGGCCGCCCCATCCCCGTGCCGCGCGCACTGCGCCTCCCTCGGCGGGATGGCCTCGCCTAGGCGCACAGCTCTCCGCGTCTCCCCAGCACCTAGGCGCACAGCTCTCCGCGTCTCCCCAGCACCTAGGCGCACAGCTCTCCGCGTCTCCCCAGCACCTAGGCGCACAGCTCTCCGCGTCTCCCCAGCACCTAGGCGCACAGCTCTCCGCGTCTCCCCAGCACCTAGGCGCACAGCTCTCCGCGTCTCCCCAGCACCTAGGCGCACAGCTCTCCGCGTCTCCCCAGCACCTAGGCGCACAGCTCTCCGAGTCTCCCCAGCACCGAGCGGCGCAGTCTCCCGGACCACACTTGCCCTAGTTCTTGGGGATTTCGAAACACAGAGATCACCTTCCAGGGCCCGGCGCTCAGCTCCTCCGCATGCGGTTCCTTTGCCGGCTTCTCGCTCCCCGAGGCCGGCCCAGCGGCGCCTCACCGATCCCAGCAGGTGCTCAAGCCAACACCTTGGGGTCATCCTCAGGGCTCTGCCGGGCCCCATCCGCAGCAGGTCGACCGGCCTGGCCTTCAGCCTAACCCCTCCGCTTCCGTGTTATCACCAGCTCTGGACCCGGGAGCAGCCCGGTGCCCTTGCGGTTGCACCCTGGATCCCTCCCTGCCCCCCGCCCGTCTCTCCTCAACACAGCATCGAAGGCCCCAGATCCAACCTCTCACAGCTGCGCCCACAGGCCTCCCTGCCCTCACCCCACCCCCACCCCCTGTCCTCTGACCTCCCCAGCGGCCCTCCCCTCTTGCTTCCTGTGCTCTGGCTACCAGGCCCTTCTCCAGGCACGGCCTGCTCCACATGTCTTTGCTTGGAAGGCTGGGGGGTCCCCTTCTCAGTGCCAACTTCCCAGAAGGTGCGCCCCCTTCCCTCCCATCACTTGCTTTCCTCTGGGAGAATCACAATCGAGCACACCTGTCCCCCAGCCGGCGGGCGTGTGAGCTCCCCGAGGCAGGGCTCTATTATTTCTGCACCTCGTGCATCCCTTCTGGGCCTAAAGCAGGCCCAGCACCAAGCAGGGGTACAGCCAGCATTTGCTGAGTGAACGAATGAATGAATGAATGAATGATTTTCCTGTTGGTCTCTTAGCAGCTCAGTGAGCAGACTTGTGGGGACTGAGCGAGGGACCCGCCCTGCCAGGTACTCCCCAGAGGCCAGGCCTGCAGAGCTCTGCTCTCCTTTTAGCGAAAACACCACAACGGGTTTGTTTTTAAAGCAAATGAGGAAATGGCCTTTCAGCCTGTGCTGGGCGAGACCGGGGACCTGCCCGCATGACCCCAGGCGGATGCCTGCTCAGTGACCCCGTGACCTGATGGAAGAGCAGCTCCCTGCCATGGGAACCAGCAGGGGAGGTGACCCACCACCTTCACCTTGACCTTAAGGGTCACAGGGCTAGACATGAGCTAGGAGAGAGGGGCGGGGAGGGAGGTGAGTGGAAAAGCGGAGGCAAAGCCTTACAGCAGTTCTCAACCTGTGGGTCGCGAACAATGAAAATACATCCTGCATACCAGATATTTACATGACGATTCATAACAGTAGCAAAGTTACAGTGATGAAGTAGCAACGAAAATAATTTTATGGTTGGGGGTCACCACAACATGAGGGACTGTATTAAAAGGTCGCGGCATCAGGAAGGTTGAGAACCACTGGAGGTGTCTGGACCAGGGTCTCCCCTCCCCCTGCTCTGTGCCCACCCCCTTAGAGCAGAGACCAGGTCCCCAGGCAGCCTCCCATTGGTGCACCTGGGAGCGGGGGCTGGCCTTCCCCTTCGCTCCCTGCCTCCCCCCTACTCCTCCCCCAACCCATCCCGCGCCCTCTCTGGGGTCACGCCCACCCCACAGAGCTGTGAGGCTTCTGGAGTGGCTTCTGCTCCATACATGGCACCCCGGGGCAGAGTGATGGGGCTACACCTGCCCAGGGATCCCCCCAACACACACACAGCCCCATGTCCTTTGGAGGCCCCCTTCCTAGCCTCCTCCTCTCTCCCCCTCCCCCCAGAGCTCTGCAGGGGTTGGGGCCAGGTTTTAGGATTGTCTGATTGTCCATCAGCAGGCACCCTCTCACCCAGCCACACCCTCCCCGCAGCCAAGTCCCTTCCTGGGTGGGGCCCTTGTCCTGCCCGCCTGCTGGGCTGCTCACCTGTCTCTGGCTCCGTGGAGAAGCTGCTGGTGGCTGTGAGAGAGGGAGGTGCAGAGGGGTGAGAGGGAGGGTTGGGGAGGCTGCAGGCCACCAGGGAGCCTCCTCGGGAGCCCCGAGGGAGGCCCAGGGGTATCAAGTGTCCTCACTCAGGAAGCTGCTCTGAGCCCAGGGTGAGCTCATCAGCCGTTTCTCGGGTGTATGAACAGTGGGCTGGAGAAGCGGATGGAGAAGCAGCGACTGGGCCACACCTGCTGTGCGGGCTGGTCTGAGACTCAAGCCCATGTCTCTGCCTCTGCGTCCTGTGCTTCCGGGGTGTCCATACCCGCGGTCCCACCTCCTCTGTGCCCCCCGCACCCACCTCAGTGCAGGGGCCCCTCCCAACATGTCCCCGGGGGCTCACCCAGCGCGGCCAAGCCGAACAGCAGCGGGAGCCTCATGCCTGTCGGTGTGGGCCTCTGCCCAGCTCAGAGAGCCTCCCCTAGTGGGGCCTCCTCCCGCCTGGACTCCCAGGAAGCTCCCTGGGAGGGACCTGCATTGGGGAGATAACCCGAGGCCCTGGGGGCCCTGGGTCCCCAGCACCAGGGCTGGGCCCCCCACAGCAGCCTCCACCACACCCCACAGGGAACTCGCCGCCTCTGCTGGGCTGTGGCCCTGCGCTTGCTGGGCGGGTGGGTGTCCAGTCCTGAGCCCTGGAGTCCGCCTGTTCCTAGGATGAGGCTCGAGTTGGTTAATCTGGTGACTTCGGGGCGGGGGATTACCCTGGATGACTGGGGAGGACCTGGTGTGACCCTAGGGGCCCCGCCCAGGCCCCACGGGGGGTCTGACACAGGCTGGAGAGCCCATGGGCTGGACCCATCAGAGAAGCAGGCAGGAGGGGCAACTTCTGGCATCCCACCCTGGTTCATTCGTGACCACCTTCGGGCGCCTGTTAGGTGCCAATGCTGGGCTCAGCCCTGAGTAACCTCAGGCTGGGTGAGGCCGGGCAGGTGCTGGGCTGGAGCCCGCCCTGAGCGCGGACCGGGGAGGGACCGCACTCCTCAGAAGGGCAAGGCACCCGGACCCGGGACACTGTGTAACCGCTATTTAACCCTCACAGTCACTCCGAGGGCGGTGAGGCCCAGGCTACTGACTCCCCCACGGCTCCCAGCTCCGGGAGGCTGCCTGGCGCCTGGCCGGCTCTCAGGAAGTGCTCCCTGGAGGGACAGAGGTGGTAGTAAAGGACCTCCATGGCGCTGTGCTGCGGTTCTCACGTGAGCGCCACCCTCACCCAGGGGCTCACCCACTGGGCCCCACCCTTACAGCTCGCTCTCTTTTTTAATTTATTGATTTTAGAGAGAAAGGTAGAGGGAGAGATAGGAACATCAATGATGAGAGAGAATCATTGATAGGCTGCCTCCTGCAAGTGCCCCGCTGGGGTTTAAGCCTGCAGCCGGGCCTGTGCCCTGACCGGGAATCCAACCATGGCCTCCTGGCTCACAGGTCAGCACTCCACCCCTGAGCCCCGCGGCCGGGCGCCTTCAGAGCCCTCCTGAGTCAGGAGCCGCGTGGGCCTGAGAGTTTGCATTTCTAGCAAGTTTGCAGAGGACGCGGAGGCTGCTGGCGGGAGCACAGGTTGGCCCCGAGATGTTTGTGAGCACGCGTCACTTTGGCGTGGGCCGGGCTGGGGCCGCCCTGAGCCGCGCTGTTCCCTGCAGGCTCTCTGCCAGCCTGGAGGGCCCAGCGCGTGCCCACAGCCGATGGTCTTGTGACGCTGGGTGAGTGAGAGGACGGGGCAGCCAGCCAGCCGCGCCTTAATGACCGCAGGAAGCCTGTGGCCTGAGGGCACCGGGTCAGAGCTGCCCAGGCCTGGAACCCAGCCAGGCGGGGCCCCTGGTGGAGGCGGGGGCTTTGCAAGCAGGTCCTGGGTTTCTCCTGACCTTCGGTCCTGGGGGTCTGTGGACCAGGCGTTGTCACCCTGTGGGTAAGTGGCCCTGGTGGGGTGCGTCACCGGGGCTTTAGGCCGCTGGGCCAGGCGCATGTCGCTGCGCGGCTGAGCAGTGGATTTAGAGCTGTTGCAGCCTCCGGCTTCGGAAAGGAACCTTCGACAGGCTCGGGAATCACAAACCCAGCCTCGGGCAGATCCTAACGCCTGGGCCCTGGGGGGGCCTCTTCACCCCACCATTCCCGGAGGTCAGCTCCCTGGGGGACGCAGAGAGGGTGGGCGACCAGGTGCTGCCGATGGCAGGCAGGGTCCTGAGGAACCCCCTTCATGGAGGGGGGTCGCCCACTTAGAATGCAGGGGTGAGAAACTGCTAGGGAGAGGCCGCCTTCAGACCCTGTTCGGACGCGGGTGAGCCCTGGAGGCCTGGGGTCAGGGGGGCAATGACCGCTGGGCCCCTCGCTGGGGGGGTCTGGCTCAGGAACCGGGTGTCGGGGTTCTGGGCCGTGTGCCCTGTGGGTTTGCTCCAACTGTGCCAGGTTGACCCTCCCCATGGGCAGAGAGCCTCAAATTTTATGATGGTGCTTCCCGCGGTAGACAGTTTCTGAGCACTGCCAGTGGGTGTGTATTTATAAACTACTCATGGGTTATTATACTAACGTATTATGCAATCATACAACAACCAACAAAATACAAAATTTAAAGAAATAAGATAAAAATACCAACTATAATACTTCAAGAAATAAAAATTATTTAAAAAAGAAAAAAAAATACCAACTATACAAAGAAATAAAAAAAAGAAAAAATACAGACTATAAACACAAGTTTCCATGTTTTCTTCCTGCTGCCTGGGTGTGTGAACCCCGCTTTGGGGCGTCACCGGGGAGCAGGAGCGTGGGGCAAGGGGGACTCTGGGGTGGCGGTGGGGCTGCAGGGCGGCCGGGAGGCTCCAGACGGAGTGGGGGTCGGAGTGGGGGTCGGTGCTACAGCTCCGCGCCGCTGGGGAAGCGGAATCTACAGGTGGGATCCACGTGGGAGGGGGAGGGCCTGGGGGACCTGAGGGCCTTGGGGGACCTGGGCCCCGGGGAGCCTGGGCAAGGGAATCCAGGGCAGAAGGACCGCGGGCGCGAAGATGGAGAATGAGGTGATTGGGGCCCCGGCGAGTCACCGAGGCCCAGTTCTGGCAGCAGCCGGGACAGGTCCTCCACCAGGTGCCACTTCTCCTGGACTTGCTGCGGGGGAGCAACCAGCCGGTTGGTTACAAAGGCACCGTCCCCCAGGAGCAGCCCAGCGCAGGAGCAGCCCAGGCCCCCCAGGAGCAGCCCAGGCCCCCAGGAGCAGCCCCCCAGGAGCAGCCCAGGCCCCCAGGAGCAGCCCAGGCCCAGAGCAATCAGCCAGTCTCCCAGCTGCGGATCCGCAGCCCACCGCCCGCCCCGGAGGCCCCGCCCCCACAAGCCCCGCCCCCGGCCCGCCTCCCCGAGCGAGGCCACGCCTCCTAAGGCTCCGTTCCCGCCCAAGAAAGCCCTTCAGGGTCCCGCCTTAGTCCGGTCCGAGACCACGCCCCCAACAGCGTCCCGGCCCCGCCCTCAGCCGCACTCCCGTTAGACACTAGTCTCCAAGGCTAAGGCCACAGTCCTGCGTGGCTCCTGGCACCGCCTGGCCCTTTCCCCGCCTCCATTCCCAGCCCGAGACCACCCTGCTCGGATGGGGTCTCGCCCGCTCTCACCCACACCAGCTGCTTCCGGAGCCCCTGGATGGCCCTGGCGTTGGCCTGGGACTGGGAGACGCACACGGTCAGGACGAGGCTTTGGATAGAGGGGGATCCAAGGTGAGTCACCCCCACACTTCCGCCCCACCTCCTGGGGTCTTCTCTCTGCCTGGGTTTGCAGACCCGGCTTCCTCTCACCTCCCCTTCCTCCCACCGTGCTCAGCCCTCGCCCCAAATGACAAATGACCCCGAATGACAAATGACCAAATGACGGCAATAACCCGGCTTTCAGCGCTAAGTCAGGCACTTGCTCCTCCCGGGGGTCAGGTGAGGTGCCTGGGTACAGGCGAGGCTCCAGGGGCTGCCCAGGGGCACAGGAGGCACCCCCAGGCCACCTGCCTCCCTGGGCTCTCCCTGTCCTGCTCCCAGATCCCATGAGACTGGCTGGAGGTGCCCATGGAAGGACCCCCCCTCCCAGGGCCCCCTCCCCTGACCCCTGCTGCCCTAGAGGTACCTGAGCAGGATGAGGAGGGGAAAGCTGAACGCCTGGGAGCCCAGGTAGTGGAGGGCCTGCTGGACAGGGGGTGGCAGCCGGAGGGCCACCAGCTCAGGGACCACCTGCCAGGGGGCTGAGTAGTTGGCGAAGAGGCCGCAACCCCGAGAGGAGTGGATGCTGCGGAGAGACCAGCGTCAGGGCCCAGTGAGGAGCTGCCGGCCCCTCCCTCCGCCTCCCGCCCTCGCCCTCTCCTCCCCGCACCTGCGGACCGGCCAGCCCTCCGCCTCCCGCCCTCGCCCTCCCCTCCCCGCACCTGCTGACCACGTAGCCCAGCGGCACGGTGGCCAGGAGCAGGCCCAGGATGAGCACCAGCTGGAAGAAGAAGGTGGAGCTCGAGGCTCGGAACCGCCGCAGGGACGCCCGGGAGTTCCTCAGGAGGGTGTACTGGGGGGCGAGCGGCAACGGGGGGCTGTCAGCTCCCATGTGCAGACTCCCAGGAGCCTGGGCCCCGGGAAGTGAGGCCGGGGGGCGGGGGTGAGGGCAGAGGCAGGACGGGAGCCCCACTCAAGGTGCCCACCAGGGCACCCTGCTCTCTCCCACCCCAACCGCGAGCCGCACCTTCTTGATGTAGAAGGTGAGGAATATGAAGACGCTGTGGAGCAGGGGCAGCAGGGGGCAGTAGAAGAGGCCCATCCAGATGACCGTCTGCCCCGCCACGATGTCCAGCACGTTCGTGGGCACGAGGAACTCCTCCCGGCCCAGCCAGGTCCAGAACCGGCCTGAGAACCGCTCCACCAGCATCCTGGGAACAGGGCATGCCCAGCATCACCACGTCCATCATGGTCACGGCCACGGACCATCCCACACTCAGTCACAGGGACACACACATGTAGAACTGCTCACCCCTGGCTGCAGCCACTGGCCACCCTCAGACATGCCCAGGTCCCCCCCCCCCCACCGCCCCATGGTGTCCCCACGTGGCTGACCTCCTAGGCAGGCTGACCAGGAAGGCGAAGGCCACGGTGAGCAGGAAGTTGAAGGTGCTCAGCTTGTACAGCTCCTCCCCCACCGAGTTCTCCCAGCACTGGGCAGAATGGTTCCGGTCACCACCCACGGGCCCAGCCACCACTCACCCACCCGTGGGGGGGTATCTCCGTGGACAGGAGCCTTGCCTGGAGCCTGATACGATTGCTAAGGTAAAGCCCCGGCCCCAAGGATACGATTCATGCAGGGAAAACCGACTGCCCGGGCTGCCACCCTGCACTGTGCTGTGTGGTGCAAACAGCACCCCCTGGAGGTGTGCCCAGGTGTGGGAAGCTCTATCCCCAGCCTCTCGCAAAGGTGAGACCTGGAGAGGAACCAGGAGATGAAAGGGGCAGGGAGGTCACAGAGGTGGGGAGACGCCCAAAGGGACAGGCCCCGCCGGAGCCCCAGCCACCTGGTAGTCACAGGCGTTGTAGCCGTGGGACTCACAGCTGGTCTTGTTGCGGCCGAGGCACAGCATGGTCTGGCCCAGCGAGAAGGAGAACATGCCCAGGCTGGCCAGCTTCAGCACCACGCACCTGCGGGCCGGGATGTGGGTGAGGCTGCTACCTCCAGAGCCCCGCCTCCTTCCCACCTGCCCCCGTGTGGCCACGGTCCCCAAAGTGTGTTCCCCAGCACTTGGGTCTCCGGATGATTCACGGGAGAAGGGCTCTGTCCTTCCCCGACCCCCAGCTTGGAGAGGCACAGGCCCCGATGGGCCGTCACCATCCTTAT